TCCAATTGCCCTCAGCCCATTGCTCCATCCCATCCAGACCCCTCTGCAGAGCGTTCTGCCCTCCAGCAGATCAACACTCCCACTTAATTTCATGTCACATGCACATTTACTGAGGGTGCATCCAATCCCCTCATCCAGATGAAGAGATTAACCAAGACTGGTCCCAAACCCAAGCCCTGAGGGACACCACTCATGACCGGTCACCAAGGGGTACGTGTCTGCCTCCAGCTAGGGGCTGGCAGCCCCTGGCTGTTTCCAGAGCCAGCTCTGCCTTCTGCCCAAGGTACAAGTGCCACAGGGACAGACCCTGCACCCTGCTACAAGCCCTTCTTGTTCCTTGCCACAACCCAGCCTGGCTCCACCTCTCCCTGCCCAGGAGCTCAGATGCTGCCCAGCCACAGAAGCACATTCCTGCAGCTTTCCCCCAGCAAGCTCTGCTCTCTGTTTTTGGCCAGACCAAACACAGAAAGGTGTATCATTGTTTACTGTCTGGGAGAAATCTCCATGTAGAGGAGGGACAAAAGGAAGCAAATAGGCCAGGAGAACCCACCCCCCTATGGCAGGGAGGAGCAGCACCCCAAGGCCTGCCCATGAAGGGTCTTCACATCTCCTCAAGGCTCAGCACTGAAAGGACCCCTGCGTTGTGTCTCCATACCTCGTATCCCTGTATCCTTCCTTTGTGCTGGTTCTCCCAAGGGGGAGCCCAAGAAACTTCAACATCTGAGGCAGAAAGACTTCTGGCCAAAACAGCGGTTGGGGCTCTCGTTGGCTCTGGGTACAGGAGTTTAAAAACAAAATTAAGGGTTTTCAATTTTACGTTCAATTAATTCCAGCTTTCAAGGGATTTATTTTCTTCATTGCACAAGAAAAGGAGCATGCAACCAAAACAAACTTCCCCATTTCAGAACAATGGCCTGGGAGAGCCTGTGCCAGACGGCCCCGCTCCTCTACCTAAGAAATAATAAGATGTCATTACTAAACTCAGCCCAGGATACCATGTACTGTAATTAGGACAAGAGGGAACATTTTCTAATCAGTGGGCATTAATTCATCCCAAACCTCGGCGGAATTCTTTCCAGATTACACATTACTTTCCCATTAATATCAAAAGATTTCATTACGATTAATGTTATTTTAATGACTATCAAAAGAATTAATCACGGCTCGCCATTTATTATAAATCAGAACAAGGCTGAGGTATCAAAGGATATGTCAAGGTGGATGCTAAACCCTTTCAGATCCAGCCAATCCCCACCAGGTCCAGTGGTGGGGAGGGAAGGAGAGGTGGTGGGGAGGGAAGGAGAAGTGGTGGGGAGGGAAGGAGGGAGAGGTGGTGGGGAGGGAAGGAAGGAGAGGTGGTGGGCAGGGAAGGAAGGAGAGGTGGTGGGGAGGGAATGAAGGAGAGGTGGTGGGGAGGGAAGGAAAGAGAGGTGGTG